AACCTTGAAGTACCTTTAACTTCTGGACTTTCTAGTCACATAAGCCAGCAAATTCCCTTATAAGTTAACTACCATTAGTCACCTTTTCTGTTACTTGTAGCTGAAAACATCCTTCACAGTACAATAGCCATCAAAACATCTTCATCCATTTGACAAAAAGCCATGAGAAAATCCTGGAAGATGATTTTTGAGAAATGTCTTCTTAGGATTCCCTACTGTCTTGTTTGTTTTTACTTATTTGAGACAAGATTCTTTATTGAAAGTACATGAAAATGAGTTTTAAATGAAATATTTAGATAAATTATATTTAATTTACAACTAATAAATTTCTAAGAAATGTTATTGGAGACATAACTAGGGACATAAAGAACCTGGATTCCACAAAACCTAGAGTAGCAAAGCATTAGAGAAGACATGAAGAATATTTTAAAACATTCTGACAGCAGAAACAACCTGGAAGACATTTCTTGGTGAGGATAGCAGTCTAACAAATATGTCTTGAAACCATGACTGTTTTGAACCATGCCTATCTCTAATGGCTTGCATTGTGACAGGCACGAGACAATGATAAATGTTTCCAAATAAGTGATCTACTCTCAAGAAGTGAATGTTATAAAGAAAAGTAAATCAATCCTTGGAAAACCATAATTCAGTACTCACCAACACAGTAGTAACATTTTAAGGAAAACAGTGTATGTAAGTAAAAGAATGAATAGAGATTGTGCTGTAAGTTGAACAATTGTTTCCTGGGTAAAAATCAAGAATAATATGAAAAATTTAAGTGTGTGAACTAGGCATTTACTCGTAGGAAGTAATAGGAAGCAATTCTGGCTAGAAGAGAAAAAAGGAATTGATTGTTGGCATACTGGGGCTCATGGAATCAGGAGAAGGCTGAGTTAGGTTTAGAAATAAGCAGAAACCAAGACCACTCCAGAGATTAAGAAGCAAGACTTATAACAGGAAAATTTAGGTCAGAATGCTGCTGTTTAAGGACAAGATAGAGGTTGGCAGTGACCAAATGACAGCTGTTTCAGAAGAGTCTGTGAATATTCGATTGGAGGAGATTGAAGAGAGAATGGAAAAATAAGCCACTCTTCTGAAGAATTTTTCACGAAAGGGAGCACAGAAAGAGATGAGGTCAAGGGAGGTTTGTTTGTCTTTAAATGGTGCTACTTGAGCATGTTTCTGTGATGACAGGACTGAATCACTGGCTGCAACACTTTTCCCTGCAAGCGCCCCAAAGTTTGTTTCTTCTCATCTTTCACATCTCTGCTCTATGTCACCTCCTGGTCCCAGTCTTATGACATCGTTTTATTTTCTCGATAGCACTTGTGTCTGTCTGTAATTATCTTCTGTGTTTGTTTGATTGCCCTTTACCAACTACAGTATGAAATTCATGAGAGCAGCAACTTTGTCCTGCTTATCACTGTCATGAAAGCATCCAGAGCAGTGTCTGTGGCAAAACTGAGCCTTAATAAATATTTGTGGGATAAATTAGAAAACAGATAACTAGAACTTCAACTGTTTCTTTCCTTCTTATGTTAACTGTTTGAGATTCAAAGACCCAGGATGCAGTTGCTGATGAGCCAAGTTCAACGCTGTGTAGTCCTTTGTCTGGACAGGGTCTGCACCACCAAAGGTTATTTGGCGGGGGCTAGGGAACTGAATTTACTGTCAGTCCAAAACCAACTATGAGAGGAGAGAGGCCATTCTCACAGGAAAATCAAATACTGCTAGGAATCTCCAAATGACAAGTGCTCAATGCAGTAAAGCACAGTAAGGAGGGAGAAGAAATGTTTATTTCTTGCCACAAACAAGCCAGAAATGAAAAGTTTACATTCTGGCTGATCCATTAACAGCTGTCAGTTTCATCCCTAGGTTTCCCAAGAAAAAACTTTAGGACCAAGAGGACAGACAAGTCTGTCTGCTTATACAGATAAACATCCCTCTTCATTAAAACAGGCTGGGAGTCTGGAGATAATTAGACCCACTGTGTCAAGCAATCAGCCACACAGGGAAGAGGTCAGAAAAACAATGACAAGCGACCTGGCTAATTCTTAAGAGAAACAGAGGAAAGCCTTTGCAATCAGTTGAAAGACTTTTTGGCTATTGTCGCTCATGGCCTGACCTGTACTTGTTTGTGTGCTGTTCCTTTGGTTTCTCTGTCACTTTCGCCCTTCCTCTTGTCCTCCCCTAGCACAGACACACTCACCTAGACTCGCAGACATGAGCACAGTCACCACGTGTTCATCACAACGAAAACACAGTGAACTTTCCCAGCTTAACTTTGGGAAGGGCGGTCATCTTTCTCTACAAGATTCTACCTCCTCAGGAGGAAAACCTAGGAAGTGCCCCTGTTTGCTTCTATTTACTTATCTTTTTATTTTTTCAGTGCTTGGGATCTGTTAAGTTAGAAGAGCTTTTTGGGAATCCCAAACGTGCTTCGTTAATTTTTTCTAATAAGACGTTAGTGGCTACTAGAATGATAGCGTGACAGAATAATGAGCTCCATGAGGGCAGAAACAGCATCGATTTCATTCGTGCTGAGCACCTTGCCTAGCACAAAGTGAGTTTTCAATAAATATTTGGTGAATAAACAAATAAATACACAAACAAAAGAGTGAGCTGAAGGGCTATTTTCTAAGCAGAGACTCTGAAGACCACTGCAGCTTTCTCTGCTCTCCTCAGTCACACCAATTCATTGTAAATCTATTATCTTTCTCTGTCTTGCCCTTTTCTCATTGCAATGTTCTCCCTTCCATTCTCCTTTCTGATCCTATTGATATTTACTCACCTAAGTTAGATAAGACATCCTGATAAGCACTAGCTGTGGAACATATAAAATATGCATATTCTTAAGATTCTTCCTTGTTATATAAGCATTATATGATTTCTGATTCTAAGAAAAGATATATTTTTGATAGGCTATAAGGTAAGTTTTTAAATTGTATATAATAATCTACAAGATCCCCAATGAGCTTATAGCATTTTTTTGATTTAAAACAATGTTAATGGTGGAAGTATCAATGATTTATATGTATTTCTAGAAGTTTTGTTATAATACCTCCTTGTTTTCTTTACATTTAGAGGGGGAAAATGTAGTTTTTCTAAACTACAACTCAACTTTTTAAAATAAAATCATTTGAGTGACTTTCATAAGTACTTTTCCTTAATTATAAAAGAACAATACCATTAATTTTGTTAGTTAGCATGTTTAGAGTTCTGTAGGTCAATATGCCTTTAATGACCCAGCCAATTTCCTCACCACCACTTTCTGAAATCCTCCCATGCAGTATTTTTTTAAAGGAGAAATGGGAATGGAAGAGTCACTTTGTTTTTCAAGGACTTTTTGAAAGTCTGCTTTTGTACTAGCCATATCTCTCCACCTCTCTTTTTGATCAGCTAGATGCATCATAAGATTAATAACCATTACAAATAATTAGTGCCTACAGTGCCTTTCACCAGCCATTATTGAAATGACTTTTCTTTTATAAAATATTATGACTGCAACTACACGGTGAACATCTGGACATTTCCTCTAAAATGCACTAAAGTGTAGTCTACTCTGTGGGTCTGTGGTTTTTGTCTTTTTTTCTTTTAATGAGATGAACTAAAGAAACAGAACAAAATGTTAGAGTTGGAAGGGATGACAGAAATAGTTCAAGTGGTTCTTTCTTTTTTTTCTTTTTGAGAGAGAGTATCGCTCTATTGCCCAGGCTGGAGTGCAGTGGCGCAATCTCGGCTCATTACAAGCTCCACCTCCCAGATTCATGCCATTCTCCTGCCTTAGCCTTCCGAGTAGCTGGGACTACAGGTGCCCACCACCATGCCTGGTTAATTTGGTTCTTTCTTAAAGTAACAAATCCAAAGCATAGAGAGGTAAGATGATTTCTGATCCCCAACAGGCTGCTAACTACACGCTAGGCCAATTGCCCAATCCTTGTCTTACCACAACTACCCATTTAGTGTTGGCTTTTCTATCCAGAACAACAACTACTCAATAGTTCTTAATTTTATTCATAGGGTTGTTTTACTGAGGAGCTGGGTCACTTGAAGTTTTGTTGAAGAAGTAAATGCTGATTATACTCTTTAATAGATAAGTCTTAATATTCATTCCTGTTACTATTGTAGTTACTTGCTCTATAATGCTCTAACCCTAGAAACAAATTCTGTGATTAGAAACATTGCTGTCATGCCAATCCAATTTATTTTAGGATGAACAGTGTGACTAGGTTGGGTGACTCCAGCACATACAGACCAAAATCCAGGAGTGATTCTTAGCTGTCGACTGCAGGGATCCTACATGTACTTCCTGTCAGAGCAGAAAGTGAAGTGGATACAGGTTCACCTGGTCTACAAAGGCATCCAGGGAGAGATGTAGCAACTGGCTGGGAGAAAGTAGGTGGTGTCTTTGGACAGGGAAGTTGGAGCAGTAGCTGCAGGTGAACAATGAGCAAAATACCAGCTACTCAGGCACAATGAACCACTTGTACAATCCTGCGTTAGGAAAGAAGCTTTCAGGAGAATATGGCCAGGTGGGGTCTTCTGGTCCCAGGGAAAGCAGATCATCACAATAAGGGGTTGGTTTGTGGTGAAATCACTGATTGCCTGTAAACCAATGCATTTCTGGGTGTGCACCCCTCTCAGACAGCAGTGTGGCTGTTTCCTTAGCATTGGTTCTGGATGTAAACATGCCTTGGTTTGAGCACAAAACCACTGTTTCTGTTCCACTTTGAATGAGTTTTACAGAAATGATGACTATGTGGTGATTCTTCACCTATTCTCATGCCTGGATCTGATTTGTGAGATGTTTTGAGAGGTTACTGCGGCTTTGTAACCGAGATTTTTTTCTTTGGGAAATTAACTGTCTTTTCCACAGCCATTGTGGTAGCCTAGCAACAAGGGACAGCAGAGCAATAGCAGGGATTCTAAAACTCTAAGGAATGATGCCTGTTGACGTCTGTCCCAGGGATAAGGGATCCCAGTGGGCCTGACTTGAGATGGGACAATGCTATAGCAAGAAATCTGTGGTCCCAGAGTCTGACACCCCAGAGAGAAGCAGGTGAGTTCCCAGCTCCTCTCATCCCAAAATAATTAATGGGAATTCTTGGATAAAGTAGCTTTCACTTAGTACTTGAAAGAAAATCTTTCTTTAAAGTCTGGGGAATAACAACAGACAGTTTTTTATCCTTTCCTGGAGAGTGACCCCTTTCTTTGAAAGCTGCCATCTTCCCAGATCATAGGGCATGGCCTGACACACAGTAGGAGTTCAATAAATATTTGTTGAACAAATAAATTGTCCCTTACTTGGTCTTCTAAAAATCACACACTCACCCACCACAGCCATTTTACTGATGTGGGAAGGAGGAGGGTTTGAAGCCAGCCTTCTTACAGTTGAAATGAAATGTCATCTTCACTACCCTCTTGCCAAGAGATGCACACACAAAAAGCTGGGTCATTCCTCCTCTACAGGTTCCCCACATAAAAATCTAGATCAATGCTGGCTAGAAATATGGAAGTACAGTTCACTTCTCTAATTGATCTGCATTTAATTACTAGAAATTTTGCATGTTGACAGCATACTCATTTCCCTTTCAAATGTGGAAATATCTTCCATTTACAATTTTCTTTTAAATCTTGAGTGAGAGTTGACCACATCTCTGTAGCAGGAGTTACATCCTATAAGGCAGTGTCCTTGTGGGATGTTCACATGCAACCATGGTTCTGGTTTTAAGTTTTCGTTTGTTTTTGAAACAGAGTCTCACTCTGTTGTCCAGGCTGGAGTGCAATGGAGCAATCTTGGCTCGCTGCAACTTCTGCCTCCCGGGTTCCAGCGATTCTCCCACTTCAGCCTCCCAAGTAGCTGGGATTACAGGCATCTGCCATCATACCTGGCTAATTTTTGTATTTTTGTAGAGACAGGGTTTCACCATGGGTCTATGGTCTGTGGATGATGTGAGAAACTCACAAATCTAAGATTTTATGTAAAATGTTGTTTATTTGTGCAAAGGATTCTATAAGCCTCAAAAATTAAATAATCTATGGGAGGGAGTAAGGCTTTTTCCATTTATTAAAGCTAATGAAATTTAGCAAACACTCATTTTCTTTTGATTTCCCAGAACAAAGCAGCTGAAGAGATAACGTATCAATATGTAGGCAATTGGAGAGTTGAACATAAAGTTACCAAATGGAGGGAAAATGCCCTGTGATGAACAACTTTCAAATGAATAGCCCAGTATACATTCAGCAGAAAAACCAAGTGAAAAGCAGGACTTTGCTCTCTCTGTAAATTATTGTTAGTGTTTTTTACTCCTGGTGTGTGGAGTTGAGTGTTCTGTGCAGGTAGAAAGCTGGGCTTTTGAGGTAGGAGGCAGGGGAGTGTCACACTATTCTTGTTGATCTGTAGGTGACTTCAGTTCAGCTTCTTCACTTCTAAGCAGGAACAAACTGGTCCCGTGTGTTTTGTTTGCCTCTCCTTCTCCTTTTCCTTCCCCTTTTCTCTTCTCATGCCCTTGAAACAGACCTTCTCCACAGTTTACATAAAATGAATGGAAACTTGCTCCTACTTTGTCTAAGTAAGGGAGAGTTAGGCCCTGGATGTAATTAATCTAAGGAACAAAACAGAATTTTCCCAGGAAATCTTCTCTTATAAAAATTAAGTGCTCAATAGCTGTATTTCCTCACCAATTTTATTAAAATCCTTTATTCACCCAGACTAATTGGTGACTAATTAATCCTCCAATTTGACATAAAAAGCATGAAGTAAAAAGTTTAGAAACCAGATATAAGACATTTCATTTAAAGGAGGAAATTTCAATGTTCTTGTAACACACTGAGAAAAAAACTATGCAAGGTTGATATGTCATCTCATTACTCCCTGCCAGTGAAAATTTAAAGAAGTTTTTCCAGGTTTCCAGTGAACCCTGAAGTAAGAAAACAATGCAATAAAAAACAAACTTCATAAACACCTTTATTAATTATATGTTGTCTTTATCTCAAAGCTAATAGGCTTTCTAAAGCTTTCTTCCCCCCTTAATTATTGTACAACATGACTTCTCCTGTGTATGTGGGTTACCATGGTTACTCTGAGGCCATGACTCATGACCTTTAAATATAATTGTCAGGCAGCCAAAGCTCTCATTTTTAAATCACCAGTTTTGTTTCAGGCATTATTTTTTAAAAGTAATCTCAAATTGTACTTTCTGTGATGCATTTGTGGCACATCTGAGTATGCACATAAGGATATTGCACTCGCATATTTTGTTTCGTTTGGTTTCATTCAGTGACTGAAAATGACTTTCTTGCCCAGCATAAAAAATACACGAAGCACAGCCTTTGTCCCCTATGAGGGTGTTACTGAGAAATGCAAAACACAGGTAGAGAAATAGTCACATACATCATGAACCATAATAAGGGCTGCAAGAGGTGGATGCCCAAAACCTGCTTGTGCAATATGAAGGCAAGAAATACTTCTGACCGGTAGGGTCAGAGGGCCTTCAGGGAGAGGCAGCATTTGAGTTATGGTGTGAAGACCTGTAAGATTTCAACAAGCAGAGAAGAGAGTATGAGTGTTCTGGCCGGAGGAAACAACTAAGAAAAGGATAAACGCACACTCTGGACTATTAGGCCGTTCAGTTGAGGGAAAACATCCGTTTCGTGAGTTTCACTGATAGAAGATAAAATTTGTTAGAGGGCTCAGTTTATTAAGATCCTTTAAAGCCATTTGTTGGTTTGTCCAGCAACTGTGATGACCAAGAGTTTGTTTTCCATTTCATGATAAAGAGGTGTTGTCAAGTAGAAAGTACCAAAATACTGGTTTTTTTGCTGATCTGGGTGTCATGTGAAAAAAGCAATTACTTTTTTTAGAGCCCCAGTGTCTCCTTCCAGTAAGTGAGAACTTAATTAATTTTATTCAGTAGTCACTGATTACTTTATGAACATTTGTAAATGATTTCAAATTTTTTGAAAAGTAAGTAAAAGAGAGAAATGTGCACAGACATATGGAAATAAAACTATATATTCATGAGGAAGATAGTGGGATAAGAAATAATAAAAGTACCTTGGAATTTAAAAGTAAGGCTTTATTGGCTGGGCGCGGTGGCTCATGCCTGTAATCCCAGCACTTCGGGAGGCCAAGGTGGGCGGATCACGAGGTCAAGAGATCAAGACCATCCTGGCCAACATGGTGAAACCCTGTCTCTACCAAAAATACAAAAATTAGCTAGGCGTGGTGGTGGGTGCCTGTAGTCTCAGCTACTTGGGAGGCTGAGGCATGAGGAACACTTGAATCCGGGAAGCGGAGACAGTGAGCCAAGATTGTGCCATTGCACTCCAGCCTGAGTGACAGAGCAAGACTCCGTCTCGGGGGAAAAAAAAAAGTAAGGCTTTATTGATTGGCAACAACAGAAAGGAATCTATTAAATCTATGAGATTTATTAGATAATTCATTTATTTATTCAACAAGTATTTGTTGGCCATCCTATCCTTCTTCAAGAGGCTGAGGGTAGAGTAACAAAAAGAACAGAAAAAATTTCCTATCTTCAAGGAGTTTACATTTTCAGTTGGGAGATGACATAAAAAATATAGTAAATAAGCAAACTATATAGCATGTTAGAATGTGATAAGTATCACAGAGAAAAGAGTATGGTGATGAGGTGAGGGGTTAAATTTTAAATAAGATACATATGGTAGGTCCCACTGAAGTGGTGACATTTGAGAAAAGACAAGAAGGAAGGAAGAGTAAGCCAAGTGGATAGACTTAGAGAAAAATATTCCAGGGCCCTGGGATGTACTGGGAACTGAGTGAAGAAAGTATTTCAAAGAGAGAATGATGAGTCATGTCAAAAGATGTTAAGGTGAGTTGTGAAAAGTAATCACTGGGTATAAGAATGCAGAGATCTTTGGTGAATTGGACAAGTGCAGTTTCTGTGGAGTGGTACTAGTGGTGGCACTAGTCTAATTACAGTGGCTTTAGAAAAAAATAAAGAAAAATGAAGGGGAGGAATTGGAGACAGTAAAAAAATCGTTTTTCTGTAACCTGAAAAGCAAAAGAGGTTAGTATAATCAAGTGGAAACTAAGGCAGTAAGAAGGCTCTAGGCATGATAAATAACAACATGTTTATAAGCTAATGGAAATGATCCAGGAGACAGAGAGAGAGAGAAGAGAGAGAGAGAACAGTGTAGGAGACAAAGAATTCTCCACGTCTGCTGATTCTTATGAGGTTATGCTTTCTTCTCTCCACTTTTTTTTTTTTCAGTTGAAATACCAGATTTTTCAGGTTTTCAGAACAGATTGTACTGTTCAGAGTACTTATTCTCAAGAGAACCTTTAAAGGCTATTTTATCTTCTGCGAGTAAAGTTTACATTCCACTATTTTTATTTCCTTTAGAAATGTCCAGAAATTGACATTTGGAGGAAATACTTTAGAAAATTTACTTTAAATGTTACAGTGTAATGATCTATTCAATGTAGGTGCGGGGGTGTGTGTGCGCACATGAGTGCCTGAAATAAAATTTTGGAATTCTAAACTTTTACTTTATTTCAGCATGACGTCTGGAAGTTTAGAGTCAGATACACAACAAGAAAACAAAGTATCGGTAAGAAATGAAGTTTGCATAAATTCTTTATTTAAAAAATCATTGTAGGTAATGAAACTACTAAACTTCTTTACTTAATACCCGACGTTTTCCTTTTTTTTTTTTTTTAATTTATTTTTTATTATCACTTTAAGTTTAGGGTACATGTGCATAACGTGCAGGTTTGTTAAGCATATGTATACTTGTGCCAGGTTGGTCGCGCCGGGCACCCCATCAACTCGTCATTTACATCAGGTATAACTCCAATGCAATCCCTCCCCCCTCCTCCCGCCTGCCCCATGGATAGGGCGCCGTGTGTGATGCTTCCCCTTCCCTGAGTCCAAGTGATCTCAATGTGTCCAGT